CCAACCGTTTTCTCCCCAGAAGGTAAAGCAACAAGTTCCCATGTATTATTATGGTGTATAGCATCCATTTCTGTTGTCATGGCAGACACCCAATTGGGATCCTGGAGGGCTTCTGACACAGATCGAGGAATAGAAACGGTCCCAATCTTGCCCAAGAAGGATTTATATGCACCTGAAAGACCATCATAGGAGACATACTGGGAAATAGGGTGGTTAGTGCTACTAGAAAAACCATACCAATTAGGAGGATGACGATCACAGGTAGGATAACGGGAGGTACGCTCAAGAATTGTAGGAGCAATAGGAGAAGGAGAGTTACCTGGACCTGGTTCTGAAGATGATTTTGGCAGGGGAGGTTGAGTGCGATGGCGACGAGAGTAGACCTGCAAAGGTGGAGGGGAACCCTGCATAGATGGAGAAGGAGATTCCAGGACAGTGTGATTTTCAAAGAGAGGAACAGGACGGGCAATAGGAGAAATTTCCTTCTCCAGATCACAAGAGAGAGAATCATGTACCACAGAATTAGTACTATAAAAAAGTACAGTTTCATGAAATGTCACATCAAGAGAATGATACATATGTTTGGTCACAGGATCATAACAACGATAGCCCTTTGACATAACAGAATACCCCAAGAAAATACACCTAATAGATTTATCATCAAGTTTATGACGAGAAGGACTACGGTTATGAACAAAACAAGTACAGCCAAAAACACGAGGCAGAAGGTGAAACAATGTATAATCAGGCTGGAGAATCTGAAGGGGTGCCTTACCACCCAAAACTCGACTGGGAGTACAATTAATCAGAAAAGCAGCTGTAAGAACAGCCATGTGCCAATAGAATTTAGGCACATGCATACCACTCAGAAGACATCGGACCACAGACATAAGATGATGGTTTTTGCGTTCAGCCACGCCATTTTGCTCAGGAGTATAGGGGCAAGTGAGTTGATGTAAAATCCCCTTTTTATTAAGTTCAGACCGGAACTCATTCGAAACATATTCTCGTCCATTATCAGAACGAATATTACGGACAACAATGTTATACTAGGTTTTGATCATTTGAAGAAATTGGGTAAATAAAAGAAACACATCAGATTTCTTTTTCAATAAATAAACCCAAGTACAACGAGAATAATCATCAATAAATATCACATAATATCGATGTCCAGAGAAAGCAGTAACTGGGGAAGGGCCCCAGACATCAGAATGAATAAGATCAAACATACTAGGAGCACGACTTATATGAGAAATATAGCTAGTTCTATTATGTTTAGAAAGCTCACAAACTTCACATTGAAACTTATGGTCCTTACATGCTTTATTTAACGAAGGAAACAATAGACATAGATATTGAAAGTTTACATGCCCCAAACGTGCATGCCACAAACTAAAAGTGCGAAAAGAAACATCATAAACACTAGAAGTAGGTAGGACAGAAGCTTGAAGACTCGTTCCTGGTGGTTCCCCGAAGTAGTAAAGCCCATCACGCTCATAACCCCTGCCAAAAATCCTCTTCGAACAAAGGTCCTGCAACAAATAGTGATCTGGTAAGAATATAACTACACATTGGAGGTTTTTTGCAAGCCGGCTAACAGATAAAAGGTTAAAGGCAAATTTAGGTACATGAAGGACAGATGAAAGAGTAATATCAGAAGACAGACAAACATCACCCTTACTGTGAATGTAAGATGTAGAGTCATCCGCAAGATACACAGATTGGGTAACAAGTATGACATTAGAAGAAAAAACTGATAACTCACCAGTCATGTGATCATTGGCCCCATAATCCAGAACCCAAGTGGGCTGCTTGGCCTTAACATGAAATGCAGTAGGAGTGCCTGTAGCAATAGTTGCAGTGGGAGCAGTTGAAGGAGTACTAACTCTAGAAGCAAGGGAGCCAAGCTGGTCTTGGATATGCCCAATCTGAGACTGAAGCTGGCTCAGTCCAGGAAATACAGTAGATCCACCAATAGTAATAGGAGTTTCTGCAACAGCCGCAGTACGAAACGGACCAGTTCCAGATAAACAGTTCCTAGAAAATTTTTGCTTCAGTTCAGGATGAAGTTTGAAGCAACGAGCCTTAACATGTCCAACCCCTCCACAATGGTGACAAATAATCTGACCTCTAGAAACTCGTGATCCAAAGTTGGCTGCAAAAGCCATACTATCCCCAGCAGGCTCAGACACTGGTACAGGAACAATTGAGGGCTGAATTAAATGGTGTCTGCGTGCTTCACCATCAACAGTAGCAAAGGCTTCCAACAGGGATGGCATTGGTGATGCATTCAAGATCTGAGACTTTAGCGGTTCAAATTCTGGGCGTAATCCCATCAAAAACTGATAGGTATGCTGACGATCAAGACGTTTGACAAGAAGAGAGGCTACCTCAGAAGGAAATTCACTGAGAGGCTCATATTGAGCTAGTTCCTCCCAACGAGATCTCAAATACCCAAAATAATCAGTTACAGACAAATTCAGGCCTTTCTGCGAGGCCTTAGCAATATCTTGATATAATTCAAAAATACGAGCATCATTCCTAGAATGAGCATACATTTGATTCAAAGCAGTCCACAAGTCATTAACAGAGTCATAAAACATGAATATATTATAAATGCGTTCTTCCATAGAATTAAACATCCATCCTAAAATGGTGCAATTGTCCATATCCCACTGAGCATATTTAGGATCTTTAATATCTGGCCTATTTTCAGTACCCAAAATCCACCCTGATTTGCCTTTTCCACCAACATAGAGGCGGAGGGAACGAGCCCAAGATGCAAAATTACGGCTATTCAACAGCACACTAGTAACTCGTTGAGCCGGTGTGTGTTGCGCCGAAAAGAGAGTTTCTTTATTATTACTTGATTCAGCTATAATATTAAATAGATCAATTCAACAGATTACCAATAATTTCAAATAAAGGAGGAATAAACCTGATTTTGATCAAACCAAGAAGCCAGAGACATGGCGGTCTGATCCGAAAATGCTGCCGAATATCCCGGCAGCCCCAAAAAATTACAAACACGTCTTCTGACCCTTAGTGTATGAAAAAGACTAAGGGAATACCCCTACAGGGGTCGAACCTAAAGGAGATTGACTCCCCCTAGGACTGTCGCAACAGCGACCTGAAAAAGAGAGGTGGTCTGTGAAAAAAAAATAGGGAAGGGGCTGTAACGAGATAAAGAGAGATATTAAAAGAGGCGGTGAAAGAGAGAGAGATGGGGGAGGCGTAGGTTTGAGGCTCTAATACTAAAAAGTAACTTGGTAAAATTGGCGTACTCAATTTGAGAGCCTGACTATCATTATATACAAGCGGAAAATTACAAATATGGAAAAGAGAATAAAATCAAATCAAAATAAAGAGAATAAAATCAAATCAAATCAAATCAGAATAAAAATAAAATCCCTAAAAATTAGCCTATATTGAAGACCCAATAAATCTGCCATAATCGTTGAGTCAACTTATAGATAAGATTTCCAACACAACACAATTACAGACTCTCACACCCATGAATTCGTGTAGCTCTGATACCATGTTTAAAATCATGAGAGAGAGAGAGAGAGAGAGAGAGAGAGCAGACATATTTCTGTATATTTCACTCTTAACCTAATAAGCCTATGTAGGCTTATATAAAGGATACAAGATATACTTAATAACACAAGGGCCCTACCAACTATATGTAATTATATAATGACCCAACATATATATATATATATATAAAACATTCTAACAGAGATATAGGTGAATTCTTGGCTATGCAAAAGCCACTATTGATTCTGAAACATGAGGATGATAAGGAAGCAACAAAAGAAAGATCTCAAGATGAAGTATGCCTGGTTGATCATGAAGATTTTGGATCCGTGGAGATGAAAAATAATGGATTTTAGTTTTATGATATGCTTTGGGATGAATTCTTGGAGCGCTACAACTACTAGGCGGTTGTTGGAAAAAAAATTAAAGTTGATTAAACTTCTAGTTCAGGATACCGAGTTTTGCGAACCTACCCAATTTCAAAGGACATCTAACAAAATTCATGTTTGTTCTGTAACTGTATTCTTTGTTAGTATAAGAAGATCAACGTATTTGATTCGAGTTCGGAAAGGAAGAAAGAAGGGATGGAAAGCCATGCTTGGATTTTTGATTGATCGTGGGAATTTGCTCCAAACTCGAGGGCGAGTTTTTTCCAACATGGGGAGACTGACGAAGGCAGAATTTTAAATTTCTTCAAAGGGAATTTGTGTTTTTCATAAACTTTCCATATTTTGAAAGTTTCCTTATTTTGAGCAGTTTTCTTATTTTCATCAGCTTTCCTTTTTGAGTAGTTTTCTGTTTTGGTTTTATTTTATATAAGGCTAGGATTGGGGAGGAAGAAATTCTATATAAAGCCTTGTAATTTCTAGGGTTCAATCAGTTTTAGTTGAAAAGATTATTTTTACAGCAAATAAAATTTGCTTTGCAATTTCTCCTTTTCTCTTGCATTGTTATTTTTCTATTTCGTTTCAAAATTGCTATGAAGACAATTTGATTGTCTCCTCTTGGTAAGGCGGCATTAGGAACATCTTTCACAATCCCTGGAGAGATGGTTCACTAATAGACCAAGGGATAAGTAATTTGACTCATTCACATCCAGATCATTTGCTTTTTAGTTGTTAAAGATGGATACCATTTCCATATATTTTTCACCCAAAGTTGATATAAATGTTTACCACATGTCATGCTACGTTAATATAAATCAGAGTTCTGCTAATTACTCCAAACAATTAGGACAAAGTTGTATCCACCACTTTTTTCCTGCCTTAGAGAGACACAAATGTTATGTTTTGTCATCACTTGAATCAATTTGTACACCGTCTTTATCCAAAGAAAAAAATTCCATTACATAGTAAGTAACACTAGAGTTTCACTCCATCTTGCATGACAGAATCCATATAATACAGAAAATAGTTTGAAAATGAGAACAGATAATAAATGGACACATAGGAAAGGAGGGGAACCTGGCCAATGTCAATGGCTGGATTGACAGAATATCCAAGATCCATGAAGATGTTTGCCGACCTTGTGTGGAAATCGCCAGTCAGTGTGTCAATTTCAACCTCGGCAAATGCAGCCCCATAGGTGAAGTATCTGAAGGGGTTCCCTTTACCAGTTTTCCAGTCAAACCCAATATCAGGTGTAATGTAAAATCCATGGGCCGAAAGATCTATTCTCTCCATGTAGCACATATTTGCCAGCTGATAATAAGTGAAACACCACACATTTTTATAAGCAGTCAGGAAAACAGTGGAAGGAGCTCACTAACTGAGTAAATCTTATACTAATGCAGCAACTGGATCAGTGTCAATCACGCAGACATCCACCTCCAGTTATTGTACCTTCATAGGAAGAAATCTAGCAACATGGTATAGCAAAAAAAGAACAGTCAATTATTGCTATATCCAATGCCGAAGTAGAATTCCGAGCTATGCTCATGGAATAAAAATTACTTTCGTCGAAACCATTTGTTGTGCAGACAGGGCATCAACTCGAAGGATCTTATGAGGTTGTATTGGCGATAATAAAAATAAATAAATTTAATGTTGCACAAAATCCTGTTCAGCATGATAAAAACAAACACATTGTAGTTGACAGGCACCTGATCAAAGAGAAATTAAGTACTTATTTAATTTGCACTCATGTGAAATCAGGAGACCACTTGAAGGAGTAGCGAGCATATTTTTTATTCAGCTCTAGACAAGCTGGCAATGTATAATTTATTAGCACAAACTAAAGGGGAAATGCTGGAAAATGTCTTTATTCTTTATGTTTTTCATTCTATGCTGAAGCTTATTTGCTGAAGATCGATTAAGTTATTTGTGTAACTTCACCCAAGATAATATTAATAATGTTTGGTGAGAGAGAAACAATAACACCCTAACCTTTTAATTAAAGTTAGTATAAATATTGTTTGGTAAGAGAGAACCAATAACACTGTCAGTTTTCACTTGCCGTCAAACTCTCTTCTTTTCTTTTTCTCTCCTTTCCTTCTTCTCTTCCGTGGGTTTGCCAAACTGAGTGAAGTTTGGCCCAAAAATTCAACCATTAGTTGATAATTAGGACCAAAAATTATCCCCACCAATAAATTCTCCCCCCACCCACCCTTGAATCACCAATATATTCTTTGATACAGTATTCTATTTTGTTTATTTCCTAAATTCCATTTACTGTCTTAACTGCAACAAAATCATCTTAGTCTTGATAATCTGAATCACACTAGACATCATAAGCATCAGCAACATTTTGATGTTCATAATTGTCGCTTTTATTCACTACTGAGAAAACAACAAATGATTAAATTATACACATATAAATACCTTTACTTTAAACTTGAATGTTAATTTATTTCAAACCATTTACCAGTCAGTCACAAATGATAATCATAGATGTATAGTTTCAATTTTTTAAAAAGAAACAACATTTTAATAGTGGATAATTCACAAGAGTGAGTGAAAAAGGTACCTCCGCGAAAGAAGTAAAATTATGCTTTGAGGCAATAGGCTCCATCCGTGCTTTTATTTGCTCACAAGCATCTAAAACTGCAGCTCCATACATATCAGAGCTAGCGGAAGCTGCTGTTGGTGAAGCATTAGGAACCTAATTTAGTAGAAAATGCAAATAAGAAGTCAAAAACTGAGGAGGATAAAGGGCATCAGCCCATTAACTGTGTATGTGAAAGGCATTACCTAGGTGTGTGTCTCACTATCGCCTAAGCGGGGTGTTGGGAAAAGAAGACTAGGGGCAGATGTTGGCATTCTATATTTATATTTTTTTTTTTGCATATTCGGAGATTAAAAAAAAAAAAAATGGTGAGTAATCTGAATCAACTAATAAGAATGAAGCTGCCCGATAGCAAACTTGTTTAAAGTTTACTCTTAATGAAAATGTTCGAATTCCACACAAAATATTAAAAACTCGAGTTAATAGATTACTTCTCTCTCTTTATACACTATATTCAATTATTTTGGTTAAATCTCATTTCAAAAAACTAAGCTTCGCCGCTTTCATTTTTGTATGTGTGTGGGTGTGGGAGGTAAGGGGGATACTGGTTGGCAGTACTAATATGGATGCCAAAGGCTTAAGAGCACATTAGAAAAAATCAACTGTAGTTTTTTCCAAGTATTTCAAGAAAGTGCCATAGTGGTCATAGTCCTTGTTAACTTTATCTGTGACCAGAGATCCAACTCAATTCTTGAAGATAATGATGTGTGATCAAACATTCGATGCTGGCTGTAAAATTTTTAGATGAAACAACTTAGATTCCTTCTGTTTGAATACCTAAAAACATTGATTGGGTAAAGTTCATCCTCGGGTAGCCTTCCTGTTTTTTTCAATTTATTTTCATCTCACATTGTAATTTCTATGGCCCTACGAAGAGGGTTGCTCTTTTACTCCCCTCTTTGCTATTTCACTTATCTAAACCTAATTAACAAGAGTCCAAAGTAAAACATACCTATGATGCCCATCCATTGAAGGGGAATTGTAAAAGAATTTCAGTATATCAATACTAATAAAATCAAAATAACATACAGCCCAATAATCCAGCAATACTGCTTTAGTACCTTGTCGGTACTTGTCTCTGATATAAACACAGAACTGAGAGGAATATTGAAGGAAGAAGCAGCAATCTGAGCAACTTTGGTGTGTAAACCTTGCCCCATCTCAACACCCCCGTGTGTAACTAACACAGTTCCATCTGTGTAAACTTGAACAAGAGCACCTGCCTTCAGTTGATAACGTGTGCACACTATCAGGATTATGTTAAATATAGGAACAGAATAAAAAAAATTAAATTAAATCCATAATAGAGACATGAATTTTTTACTTTAAAAGAACTAGAAGCTGTTAGTATTTGTATGCCCTGGCATAACGAATTCTTATTTAGATAGTAGAGACAAATGTTCCTTGTGTAATCTGAAATAAGATTTATGCTTTATACAATTGATGAATGCAATAGTATTATGTTTTGATTCATTATGGAATTTTTAGTGTCCACTTGATTGCAAGAGATATTTATATGCATGTGATGGCGGTCAATACAAGAGTATAAATAGCAATCACAAATAGTTCGAAGCCGGTAATTAAGGATGAACTCTTAATTCACTAAGATATGAACCGGATCCGCGATGGGTAGAGACAAATTGCGAGAACCGTCGTATGCAATTTCTCCCCATCACTGTGATGGCATTTGACAGCATGAGAGAAGTATTGACTCTTTTATTAATTAATAATTACTTTGATTTGTTAGGCAGAACCTTCGGGATCCTTTGACCGGCTCTTTGGGTAATTATATAATTAATAGTTAGAGGATTATATTCTCAATATTTGCATCGGTGCTACTTGCATTTATTTTGTATTGATTATGATTTATCACCAAATAAATTCGAAGGTTTTCGTGTGTTTTAGACAAAAATAATTTTATGTATTTATTAACTAAATTATTATTTTTGTCGAACAAATGTTTTATTGTGATCAAGCAATCAAGAAACAAAAATAAATATATTAATTATGGGGTCGGATTGATGGCTTTAAAGTGCAACATTGACTTAGTGTTTATTTACTATTTGATTGGAGGTCAATTAATTTCTTTTAGTGGAGTATAAATTAATTTATGAATTAATTGAATTAGGTCTATGGTAGTTGGACCAGGTTAATTATTAATTCATTGGAGCCAAGAAAATAGTAAGCCTCAAGGGATTCTTACCTATAGCCTGACTTGATACTGGAGGCCCATGAGATTAGATTTATCCCTATTACTTGTAGAGATTGGGAATTGTTATTATTGAAGATTTAATGGAGGAATCAGTGGAGGAAAATCCTCGAGTAATTGATGTAGTTTCCTATTATCGAAGATTTGATGTTATTAGAGGAATCAGTGGAGAAAAATCATAATCGTTTCCTATTTTCTATCTCTTTCCATTCTCATAATTTCTTCTCCTATATAAAGGAGCCTCCACCATTGTATTGTGTATGAGTTGATAGATTATAATAGAAGATATGTAGCCCTTTAGGCTTTGTGTGTCGTGGATGTAAGCCCGAGTGGCTGAACCACGTAATATATCTGTGTTTTTCTTGTTTAATTTCTCTTCACATATGTTTTATACTTCACAACATGGTATCAGAGCCTAATTTATCTTCCTAGGTTCGGACCCTTATTTTGGGGTATTCCCTTAGCATCTATAATGTTGCTAAGGGTTTCTCGGTGCTATTTGTGACTTGTTTGGACTGCCGGTGTGTTCGGTAGCAATGTTCTTCGCCTTTGCTGTGTTTCCGACAGTTTTTATTGACTTGTTTGGGTTGCCAGTGTGTTCAATAGCATTGTCTTCGCCTTTGCCGTGTCTCTGGCAATTTTTGTTTGACTTGTTTGGGCTGCTGGTGTGTTCGGTAGCATTGCTTTTTGCCTTCTCTCATCTCTCTTCATCATTCGCACTTGCTGTTACTCGTCATCTTAATGGCAAGTTGGGCATTCATGCTCTAACTTGAGGGGGAGTATTGAAGATTTAATAGAGGAATCAGTGGAGGGAAATACTCGAGTAATTGATGTAGTTTCCTATTATTGAAGATTTGTTGTTATTAGAGGAATCAGTGGAGAAAAATCATCATTGTTTCTTATTTTATCTCTCTTTCCATTCTCATAATTTCTTCTCCTATATAAAGGGGCCTCCACCATTGCATTGTACATGAGTTAAGAGATTATAACAGAAGATATGTAGCCCTTTGGGCTTTGTGTGTCGTGGATGTAAGCCCTAGTGGCTGAACCACGTAATATCTTTGTGTTTTTCTCATTTAATTTCTCTTCACATATTTTTTATACTTTACAACAGTTATTTCCACCAATGTGACTATATGTATGAAGGCCATGTATTGTTAGTAAGCCTTGGAGCACTATTTGTGTGTGAAGAATATATTTTCTCTCTATAAATTAGGGTTTAGTGTTCTCATTTCTAAGGAGTTCCCACAAGCTTAGCCGCCAAGGTCATTCATGGAGGCATATGGGTGGTTCCTAAAGGCAAGCCCATCATCTTAAAGAAAGACGTCTAAGGAAGAATGATCTAGATCAAGGGATCTTCTATAAGTGAGAACATTCACTTTAGATGAGAGATTTGAGGCTTACTCAAGCCTTTGATAGAGTATTCTAACTCTGTATATGTTAAACATTATATTCTTCTTGCATTATTAAACCTTCTCTCTACACACGAATCAAGGTCCATATAGGAAAAGCCCTACAAAAGATTTTGAAAAACTCAATTTCCCTAACAATGGTATAAAGAGCTCGGTTTGATTCTTGTGTAGAGCGCATTTTTGGAAGAAAATCATCATTCATGGGTCCAAATCATATATGCATACATATATGTTGATGTATGTATGTTTGTGAATGGATGATGATGATGATCTTTGGGTCATGGATGAAGTTTATAGGATAATTGGTTGTAATCTTCTCTTTGGATGAATGTAACTAAAGCTTTGATTTAACCATTTGAAAGTTAAATGATGAAATTTATATTTTTCCATTGGATTTCAAATGTAAGTTTGATTTAAAGCCATGTAATCTTCATCAAGAGGTGCTACGAAGCTTCAAGGAGGTCCAAGAAGGCTTCTAAAATATTTTGGGAATTTTTTCGATTTTTTTTTAGCCATTTTTCGTATTCGGGAAAATTTTCGGCGACTTTCCAATGGCCGGAATTTCAGTCCGGCAACTTCACTGGCGGCACTACAGTGTCGCTACAATGTCGTGTTACTGCAGGACCAAGTTGCTACAGTGTTTCCGGTGCTACAGTAATTAATTGGATTTGAGGGCATTTAAAGGGAAATGGAAAATTATTTCGGAAAGTTATTTTGGAAAATTATTTTCAAACGCATGCCTCTAATTAAAGATTAGTGAATCATTTAAAGTCCAAATATTCTCTATATTTAATTGGATTAAAATCAAAGTGTTTTGCATGCATTATAGGATGTATATGATGGAATGGAAATTAATTATGGATAACTAAAAATTGAGTGGGAACAGGGATCCTTATACATTGACCCATGGCCTTCAATATCAGAACCATTATAATGAGATCTTTAAAAATAAGTCCCCACGCATGATTTAAAGGGTCCAAGATTACAATGATGGGATATTTAATGCTTTATTTTTCGTTGAAGCATTGATAACGTTATACACTCAATCTAAAATCAATAGTGCTAGCTCCCTAACAGAGTCATCTACGCTAGGTGATTTTAGAAAGGCTGAACACAATCAGGAATCATTTTATACATAGACATGGCGTTGTCTAAAGAGATATGGAAATGATGGGATTTGCCCCCCAATAACAATAATGAACACCGCCAACCGAATAAGTTATTAGAATATTGGTTGTCCGATTAATCATGTGATGTGGTTGAGGGACCCACATTATTTTAATGGAAAGTGCTCGCCAATAGCAATAATGAATTGCCCGCCAATAGCAATAATGAACTTCTCCCTATTGGCGTATAGGTTGTGAGATTTATCATGCTATGTGGTTGAGGGACCCACATTAATTAAATAGATATGCATGATTGTATGTTAATTCACCTTGTTTATTGTATGAATGCATTTATATGCATATTCATTATGTCTAATCCATACAATCCGCTTGCAAACATATTCAGTTAACTGGACCTATTTATTTTGACCGGTAAAAGGGAACTTGGATATTGTACTCAAAGAAAAAGGGCACAAATATGTGCTCGCTACTCCTAGACCTACTTCGCCTTTAACTTAAGATCCCCAATAAGACATTGATGCTTTTAATAAGTGGAATAAGGCTAATGAGATGGCTTGATGCTACATTCTGGAGTTTATCTCGAATATGCTCCAAACCCAGCATTTGCATTATCTTACATCGGCAAGCTTCGTGCAAAATTTCAAGGAGATGTTTTGTGAGATTGGATAGAGTTAGTGCCTAAGTGCTATGTTATGCTTGATGACCACCAAGATGCCAAAGGAACTCCAGTAAGGAATCTTGTTTTTAAAATGATTGTCTTTTTTCTTTTTTTTAATGAACTAGAGGTTGTTGGGGCCAACTTGAATGGGGAGGTTCAAATCGACTTGATTATTTCCTAGTTACCGAACTCGTTCGACTCTTTTAGAGTGAACTACATGATGAACAAGCTAGAGTACATAATCGCTGAGTTCTTAATGAGTTTGTAACATATGAAGGGATAATCAAGAGTATGGGCACTTCTATGAATCTAACCCAGTCTAGACCATCTTCTTCTAGGCCCAATAGAGGGGGAAAAAAAAACAAAAGAAAAAAAAAGAATGGCAACAGGATTGGGCTAGTGCAAAACATGGGGATCCAAAAGGCTAAGGGGAAGTAGGAAATGCGTGTTGAGGGCGAGGGAAACTATTTGTTTTGCGGCCAACAGGGGCACTGAAGGAAGAACTGTCCAAGCAAGCATGCGGCAAAAGAAATAGTATATTCGTCGTTCAGCCATGTTTTGTGGTTGAATCTATAAATTTCTGGTGTATAGATTCTGGAGCCACAGGAATCCAGAAGCCTCAGTGATGTGGAGATACGCACTTGGAATTTGATGTCAAGGTTGCAGCTAGGTCAGTGGGAGTAGTGCATCTTCATTTTAAGAGTGGGAGGAGCTTAATATTAAAGAAATGTCTTTATGCACAGATGTTAGACGCAATCTTATTTATGTTTCGTCTTTAGTTTGTAAAAACTGTGTTGTTGCTTTCGGTAAAATTGTATCTATAAAGTTGAATAGATGTGCAATTACTTCTGGTACATTGAAACATTTTTTGAGACACAATGTGATAATACTAAAAAGGAATTTTCAATTGTTTACTCAAGAAGACACCAACCAAATTGAAAAGCCTAATATACAAATATTGCTCCAGACGTCACCTGGTTCATGAACTTCGTTGTGAAGGAAATACCAAATTTTGTTGGTACCATTGCAACTCCACGCTTTTTCCACCGGTTCTGAAGATTAAAATTTTTGACTTCTTTTTGAGTCTTCAAAAAGTCACAAGATGACTTCAATTCATTCCAAAGCCGCTGTAGAGTACAGTGTTGAATTTCTTGTCCATAATGCAATATTGTTCCTTCACCTAAAAAATTAATTTCCTGAAAGTTATCATGTAAAAGCCGCTATAAGTATACCATGAAATGTGATCCAAAAAAGAAGTTATAATAGTGCACAACGCAAAAACCACAATTCATCAACAGCATATAACTCACCCTAATCTCTTCTGGGCTTTTCTTAAGCTCCATGGCGATTCTCTGAATCCAATTTTCAGTAATCAGCATACCTTGAGGACCACCAAATCCTCGGAATGCAGTGTTACTGGGGAAATTAGTGAAGCAAACCCTTCCACTAACCCTGACATTCGGTATCTCATAGACATTATCAGAATGAAACATAGCACGTTCAAGTACTGCAAGAGATAGGTCAAGTGAATTTCCAGCATTATTGTAGATTTCAAGATCCAGCGCAAGCACCTTCCCATCACTAGTAAATCCAACCTACAACAGACAAATTTTGCTTCATCGTTATCCTATTCCATCACCAAAGGTTGTAGCCTAGTGGTATCTCCTCCACCTTCCAAAGTGGAAGGTGAGAGTTCAAGTCCCCATAGGGGCAAATGGGTGTGTGAGCTTCTGGCCAAGGAGAAAAAAAAAAATTATCCTCTTCCATCATAAGTATAAGTCAAGAGAAAAGGTAACATCAAACAAAGGAATGGTGAAAAGAGTTCATCTGAGATACTGCAAGAGAACCCTTGCCATTTTTTACTTTCTTGTTTTCCATTTGAATGTGATAACTTGATTGAAGTAAACAATATTTAAAAGTTTTGCCACGCTTCATACTTATTATATTGATCCCTTACTGTACACCTTAGATGTCAAGTATTACAGCCAATGGATACAGAACCACAATAATATTTGGGAAATAAATTTATTACCTTGTACTTCCCAAGAAAGCTATGGCGCTGCCCAGTTGTCATCATGTCTATATCCCTGTCTAATGTTAATTTCACTGGCCGGTTCAACAGATATGATGGAACTGAAGCCACAGCAGCAAGAAAAGCTGACCTAGTCTCCTTCCCGCCAAATCCACCACCAATTCTCTTGGTTTTACAAACTACTTTTGACATTGGAAGACCAAGAACATGAGAAACATACTTTTGGTGCTTTTGCGGGGCCTGCACATAAGAGTGGCAATATAACACTTGTTGCAACAAAAAATTGGGCCCTAGGAGAACAACATAAAGACATTGAATTGTCATTAGTGACTAATTTGTGAAACTTGCAACAATGATGGAGCAAAACAAACATATGTAACTTAGTATCTGTAGAAACCAATTGCATAAAAGCATTCTCACATGCAATCGACAAAGCATACCTTTGAAAACCAAGGAGGAGTTCATACAAAGAAGCAAGAAAACATGCATTTGAAAAGAACATGCAGGTAGGCATATACAGTTCAAAGCAATGACAACACACGGTAGGCACTATAGTTTTTGGGAACAAAGTGAAGATGACGAGAACCAACACAGATCCCACACAGATGTAAGTAAGAACTGCTAACACTCAAGCATAATTCTTTGAACTCTATGCATGTATGTGCTTAGGAATACTCATAAAATCAGAGAAACACTTAATACACAAAAAGCACATACATAGCACTCGATTTGATATCCCATACAAGGTATATATAGTTGTACATAAAACTCTTTTATCATGTTTCTTTTGTTACATATTACTTTAAAGCTAGTGAAAACATTATTCTCTGAAGAGTACATGAAAAATATTAAATAATATGGATATTCTCACCGTGTCCTGTACTTCACACTTTTGCGGTTTGATAAATCAGATGCTCAGACACATACACATAATGACACATGTAACTGAGTCTGCGTAACATAGTGGTTATCGTGTAAGAGCATCCACTTTGTATGAAGTATTACCAAATAAAAGGTTTATTTCCAATCTTCACATCCCAGAAGCTCGTATAAGCAACACCAACACTAGCTAATTGTCTTTTTAAAGGGATCATTACTTGGTGCAATAGTTAAAAACAAAAATAACAAGTATGAGATGGAGGTTTGAGTCTCGAGAGAAGGTTATGTTTGTTTCTAATCGTCTTCTCGTAGAACCCGGCATAGGGGGACATAAACAAGGTAATGCACTTTTTTTATATTCAGAGGCATATTCATATTACCCAAATTTCCCAGTATAGTAACTTCTGAACTTTTATGTATTTGGTCCAATTTTTCCCACTGTTTCCAAAAATATATGCATTTCCCTCCCTCTTCCAGTAGATAGAAAATTTCAAAAAGATTTAATTTTTTTCTCATTTCCCTCCTTCAAAAAGATTTAAAGCTTTTCTTGTTCTCCAAAAATTAGCTAATCTTTAACAAGGGCTAATTGTTAAATACAGATCCACTTTCAATGAATAGTAGACACTCCAAACTCATACCACATCCAAATTGGTCTTTCTATACATATATTATGAACAAATTCATAAATGGGGTACAATGTATAAAGGCCAAGTAGGTATTACTTACTTGAGTGGAAGAAATCATATGAACCTCATTCCCACCATCCATTGTCCATAATAAACTGCTCTGTGGCTCCAAGTAGAAGTGCTCCTGACCTCCTACTTCGACCTCCCCTTCAATGATCTTGTCACATTTACCTGATTGGAAACAAAGTTCCACATCCCCTTTCCTCAAACATCTCTCTGTATTAGGATGGAAACTCCCAGACTTGAGGGCATCCTGTATCGATAAGATTGCTGGGAGATCTTCATACTCAACATGAACCTTTCTTGCTGCTAGTTTTGCACATTCGTGTGTATCAGCAACCACCACTCCAATGGCCTTCATAAAATATAAACACCCCATGGATTTAAAGCAAACAAATAGAAAAGGAGTGAAATTTAATCCTATGCAACCAGAATCATCCAAACTATGTTAATAGCAGTTGATAATTTGGCCATCAAAATTTCCTTATGCAGCAGTTGAGGATTTGATGAAGCGATATTTTTCAGACAACCATCATATTTTGTTATGACTTCATTTCTTAACAATAACATTCTCGAAGATAGATTATGTCTTCAACTTCAGTGCAAAAGAAAAACATTTTCCTTCCATGGGACTCCTATCTCTGCCCTACATTAACCAGATTAGAAAATTTTAAATACAAGCAATTTACCTGACCCACACAAGTGACAAATTCTGAAGCAAAAAGTTCCTCATCTGCAATAACTGGCCCAATGATATTATCACCTGGGACATCTTTAGCAAAATATATGCCTGCAAAACCTGGTGAAGACTTGGCTCCTGATTCATCTATTGAAAGAATACGAGCATGAGGTTTTCTACTTAATATCAAAGCAGCATGTAAACCATTAGGAGTTAGTGCTGTGTCATCAGTATATTCTGCCTCCCCTGTAACCTGGAAATCGTTATGGTATCAGCATCAATATCCAAAAGCTAATTTTCTAGATCAAAAAAATAAAAAAGAGTAATATAACCATATCATATATAAGGAATGACACAAAATACCCCTCAAACAAAACTTTAAACCCAAGAAGCAGATTGAAATATATAGTGGACCACCAATGCCCAGTTGGTATGATCTCTCCTCCCCAAAGGGGAGGTTGAGTGTCAAAGCCCTACTAGGGCCAACATTGTGGGGATATGTATGTTTGCTTGAACTTTCAGAAATGAGATAATTACACTGATCTCCCCTAAAGTTTTGTCATTATACACTGATCTCCCCTCTTGTTTGCCAAATAACACTAACCTCCCCTGTCAGAGCTTTTGGATTGACGGCGCTAATTGTTATATTGAAATTACTTTTTTGCCCTTATTATATGTATTCTGTATTTTATTACAAACTCAATAGAGTTTGAAAAGACAAAAAGCCCAAAACCTATCCTTCAACCTACGTACACAAACAAAAGCCACTGCCTGTAACAAACAACACAAGCAATCAAACAAACTACATAAGTAATCAAACCATTCAAGTTGTTGTTCTCGATCAGCGCATCGACGAGGATTTGGGCGGGCTCTCTGCTGCGGCTTCATATATATATATATATATATATATATATATATATATATATATATATATATATCCACAAATCTAATGACAGGACCCAATTGCGAGGAGCTAGTTATTGGGTACGCTGATGACGACTGCGACGGAGGGAATAGGTCGAGAACATTCAACGCCGCACATGGTGTTGAGATTTTGATCTGGGTGTGGAGATTGGCGACGACGAGAGCGCTATAGAGGGACTCAATTATTGTCATGAGCAAGGAGCGGAAGAGGGGTACGGTAGTCAGAATCTCGTTGCCGACTGCGACGATGAGCGTTTATGGGTAGTACCCGGCGACGTTCCGGCCGATCTAGGCGGCGACAGTGGCTTTGGAGAACCCAATTGCAAGGAGCTGGTTGTTGGGCACGCTGATGACAACCCGAATCTTGGTTTTGGCTAGAGCTTTGAGAATGTATGCGTCGGCATCGTAGAGATGAATGGTGATGGTTTATGTTTGAAGTTCATAGACCCAAGCTAGGTGAAGTGTATAGAACCACCGCTGATCTCGCCGCCGCTGCCGTCTCAATTCATCTTGCCGCCGCTGCTGTCTCGCCACCGTTTTGGTTTTTTTTTTATGGACCCTACACATCTACTGCCTGTCTGGACAACAGAGAGGTTAGATGGTTGAAATTATCCATCGCTCGTAACCATTCAGCCATGCATCATCCAGATGTTGCTCCAATTGGATTGATGAAACATTAGGCACGATGAGGTGATGCCACCGTTTTGGTTTTGATCGAGGAAAGAAAGAGGAGAGAAAAAGATTGGAGAGAGAATTTGAGAGGAGAGGGGAGAAATAATTATGAGGGTATTTTAGATATTTTAATTAATTTATTTACATATCTTTGAGGGGTAGAATGGGGAATTTGAAAATAAAAAATTGATGACATCATTTTTGATTGGTAACAGTATTTTTTGTTAATGGAGGGGAGGTCCTTGTTATACGTATACAAACCTCGAGGGAGGTCATTGTTATTTGGCAAATAAGAGGGGAGGCCAGTGTAGGTTGACGAAACCTCAGAGGAGGTCAGTGTAATTCTCCCTTCAGAAATATATACACATATATAGTGGTTTAGAAAACCCATAAAAACTGTATTTTCCCATAAGCCCTCTTGCTTAATGGCATATAAGTTGAATATTCTTTGCAGCTAAGAGAAATAATGACATAGTTTAGGTCAATTGATGCCAAAACTCATGGCATACTATTCTTCTAAGTGTTCAAGATCCACCACTTTACGGACCTAACTTCAACAACTCAATTATGTGAAACCTAGGTATAACAAGGTCAGTCCATCTGCATTGCACAGACAATTAGGAAAGAGGCTACAATCATTGCAGTTATAGTTTTTACAAGTAGATCTTATGCCAATCCAATACAAACCCAGAGTCCCAAATCCGTAGAAGTAAGCTATTCTTTCAAATGAAAATTGTTTAAAGTTTGGGAGATGGTAGATTTTTCACACCCTACTTATTTTTTATGCTTTCCAAGCGATTAAATAATATTGTCCACGTTTTAGATCAAAGAGTTTTTCAAAGGGATATTTTGGTCCATTCCGATATAAATTTATGATAGTTAACCATTCCCACTGCCCCAAGAGATTTAATATTAAGGAAGCCACAAATAAGCCTAACAAAATGGAAAGAATTTATCTCATCATGAAATATCCACTCATAATAGCATACTTATTGTCACGACCTACCACACTGTGTAGATATTGTCCGTTTTTAAATCTCAATGCTCACTGTTTTCAAAAAGCATCTATGACTCTACACAGGTACACAAGTAGGAGACATCCCCTTGTAAGTGTCAGGAACTTTCTTCCCCTAGGCAATGTGGGCCGTCACAATCAACCCCTCTAGGGACTCAGCATCCTCACCAGTCTAACCCTCATGGGCTTGAGCACACTCCCCCACCCGCCTCACACCATATAGAGATTGTCTGCTTTGTACATCTCAGTGCTCATAGTTTTCAAAACGTCTCTACACAGATAGTATGCATCCCCCCCTTATAAGTGTCGGGAACTTTCTTCCCCCCACCCCAGGCGATGTGGAACGGAACACTTATAATTTATACATTTTACTTAAATTATGGTTACAAATAAACTTAAACATGAAATAAATAAAGTTACCGAATAAAACAAATTCAAACTGATAGATAAGCAATCATTGGTTTGCACAGTATAGAAGAGAAGAAGCAACAATTGTGTAATGTGTAATTCAAATGCACAAAGAAAACAAAATTACAAGAATAAAATAAATATGCCCTAAAGAGGGCTAGCCAACTAAGAAAAAGGAAAAGATTAAACTAACCACAATAATAAAAATATTCTCTAACACCCCCTTCAAATTCACGATGTGACTATGAGATGTAACAGCCCTCACCCCTACATGACACAATATTATCCATTTTTGGCTCCCCCAAACCAGTCTTCCCAGGAGGTCACCCATCCTGGTACTACTCTTGCATAAGCACGGTTAACTGTGGAGTTCTGATAGGTTCACAGCCATCACGGCTTTAAAACACGTTGTGTCAAAAGAAGGGTGTTGAACCTACATATAGCACTTTACCTTCACCTTCCCAAGGCGATGTGGAATCATGACACCCGTACCCTGCCAGTGTGGTAACTCACCCAGTGTCTCGCACTCACCCACAGAGGTCGTCACATGAGAAGATTCGAGAGTTTGCGAAGGAGAAAATGAAAACACATAATAGTGTGGGACTTTGTGAAGAAGCTAACCAGCTCTATAGTAGAAGAGACAAATGGTAGAGAAATAGTGTCAAGCTGAAGATGATGGCACATGAAGTGATAATCAATCTCAATATGCTTTTGCGCTCATGAAAGACAGAGTTATAAGCATTCTGAATGGCACTAATTATCACATTACATAGGTTAGGAACAGAAAGGGGAACACTCAGCCAGATTATCTTTGTTGTAGTGGCAGCCATGGCACAATACTCAACTTCAGCAGAGAAGCGAGTAACAACTGTCTGCTTCTTCTTTTTCTGAAAGTTCAAGCGCCCACACACACCCACAATATTAATGTTGACCTTAGCAGGCTTAAACTCTCAACCTCCCCTTTAGGGAGGAGAGATCATGGAGTCTAGGCTAATGCCCATTGGAACAACTGTTTGCTTTTTGCCATTCCAGGAAATGAGAAAGTCAACTAGAAAGACAGAGAAGCCAGTAGTTGACTTACGATTAGTCAAATCTCCTGCCCAATCAACATCAAAAAAAGCCCAAAGTTCCAAAGCAGATTTTAGAGGAAAATAACAAGCGCAAAACACGAACTACAACCCAAGGAACGGTAGTAGGAGAAGACACAAACTGACTCATGATATGAACTAATCGGTAAGATTAGACCATGTATCTGTACAATACACTAAACTGCCAACTATAAGTCGATACAAAGTTGATAAACAAAGGGAATACCATCTAAGTTAGTATAATGAACATTAAGCTCTAGGGAATTCTACTGTCCGTGAATCTCTGTGAGGCAAGCTTTGCAAATAACTTTTGTTGCATACTTGGACTAATAAAGAAAGTATTCTTTTGGAGAACAGGTGACCAATTTGTAGGCGTGGGTCTTATAGTATACTGTAGCTAGTGTTAGCCGAGGACTTGCTCCACAGACCCAAGAGGAATTGCTAGAGAATGGGATGTGCCTTCAATGACAAGGAAATAGCAAAGTAGACCAAGATCCTACATCTCAAATTATTACTGCAACCATAACTTCAAAAGTATAATGCAATTTGGGTCATCACCTGTCAGGATCATAGGATCGTATTATCAACAACTACGAGGAGAATAATACGACCAGTAGAAATATAATGAAGAAAGAGAGGTAAATCATAATCACTAGGATGAAAGCCTAAACTACATATCAGTGTAACAAATTCTCAAACAAAGCCCTAGGAACTTGTTTGGGACTATAAAATGCCTTCTTGAGTTTACACACCTTCCCATAATTATGGGAATGACCAGCAGGAAGTACCATAAAAGCTTCCTCAGATAAATTCCCATTTAAGAGGCATTTTTTAATCCATCTCTGAAATGGAACGCCCCACTGCCGAACAACTCCTATCGCAACCAATGTGTGAATGGTCATCATTTTAGCAACAACAGCTCCTCATAGTCAATACTGTATTCATGTGTGAACCCCCTTGCAACCAGTTGAGTTTTATACCTCTCTAGCCAACAGTTCATTTACCACTGAATCAACGGAAGGAAGTGCATTACAATTAAGAATAGAGCCACAAAGACCTTCAAAGTCATCTCTAAGATCCAACAAAAACTAAACTAATCTCTGCGTGGGTCTTATAGTATACTGTACCTAGTGTTAGCCGAGGACT